GCCATGTCCACGTAGACAGCTCCTGAAATCAAGGGCTCCAGGGCTGGGATTTCGGATGTGAGCGGACTCATACCCAAAGGCTCCTATGTAGTACCTTTTTTTTTGGGGTAGTCCCCTAGAATCCCCTATACCTACAAACCAAAGAGGAACTACATTGGAGCTTTTAGGCGAACCCTGCTCGTTCGGCCGAGTTGCGCAACTCGGCCTCTAGAGCTTCTCGTTTCTGGCGAGCTGCACTGGCACGTGCCTGCTGCGAGGATGGGCTTGAGGTTTCGACTCTCACACCAGACGCAAGCGAGGCTGGGGTGAAAAGGTTTAGGGTTTAGGGTTTAGGGTTTAGGGGTTGCAGATTCGCAGATCGAGCCCCAGTCAGCACCCAGGGGTTGGGGGACCAAAGGCATTGGAAATCCAAACAAGTCTGTTGACATGTGTGTGGTCGGGGTCGGACCCTAAACCCTACACCCAAAACCCCAAACCCTAAAGCCTAAACCCTAAACCCTGCACCACACTCATGGGGCTCTAGGACTGAGGGATCCTTTGAAGGTACGAGGGAAGAAAGGCCCCATTGTTTTAGGAGTTTAGGGTTTGGGGTTCAGGGTTTAGGGGTTAGGGTTGAGGGTTTAGGGTTTCGGGTACCCTAAACCCCTCCGCTCGAAAGAGACCTGGCAAAGCCGGAGGGGGCCTGAGGGTGAACCGTAAGATGCAATGACGAAGAAGAAGGTTGAATAGGGTTTAGGGTTTAGGGTTTGGGTGTGAGGGGCTGCTAGCCCTCACAAAGGTCCACAGAAAGGTGCTGCGAGCTGTCAGGGGGCGTCGCAGGGTTAGACCATAAACGGCCCCATAAGCCCCTGCGCCTCCGCAACGGATATTGCCTCGTCCGCGCGTTTGCGGATAAACTCCTCCTGCTTGTTGTCTTGCATTCACTTATTATAAGGAGCCATGTAACACCTGCAAGTGCACGAGGCAGCACAAACCAAATCCCAGAATGTAATTATAACTCCATCGAAATTGCACAATCCTTCCGGGCCAAAGCCGGTTGAAAAGCTGCCTTCTCCTTTGTTGCTGAAAACAATTGGGAGGGCCTGGAAAACGCATTCTTCCGCCTTTCCCCGCCTGGACAGGTTGCAGAACTGCGGCAGATGGTCTCGGGAGCTTTCGTTTCATTGTGTTTCATCCTAGCTTTCCTCGCGTCAAAACAGGAAAAACCGAGCCCACGGGGCATAATGTTCGCTTCATGTGAATAAACCCCCCCCCCCCCCCGGTATGGTCACTGGCCGTGGGCTCCGCAATTAAAAGCCTCTGGACCTTGGCGGTCCCAGACGGCGGGGGGGCTCCAGGGCTTCCAAAAAGCACTTTGCTTGCAGGTGAGGGGGGGGTGGTGGGGGAATGCGTTTTGGAACGCATTTTGCTGGCAGGTGGGAAGGATGGGGGGGGGGGGGGGGGGGGGGGGCTGCGTTTTCCAGGGTTTTTGAGCGAATTTTGCTGGCAGCGCCGTGCGGTTTCGCTAGGGTCTTGCACTGCCCTAAACCCTAAACCCTAAACCCTAAAAGGGCCTGTTTTTGGCCATTGAATTCCCCTGAACCCTTTGTTTGGTTGAAACAGGAGCTCTGCGGAAAATTCCCGCCAAACCATCCTAAAGCCTAAACCCTAAATCCTAAACCCTAGGCCCTAAACCCTAAACTGTAAACCCTAAACCCTAAACCCTAAACCCTAAACAAACGATTCCCCTTGCAGAGCTCCTTTCGCTGGGCCGCGGCCTCATCAGAGGCCAGCTGCCGGGCATGTTGCTCCAGCATGGCCTTTGGCTTGGGATGTTTCCCCTTCTACTTACAGGGTTTAGGGTTTAGGGATGATAGTACCTCTATACTAACAGTCCTTACTAAGGATCATCGTACCCCTCACAGTCCTTAGTAGGGATCCTTGTGACCCTAAACTAACAGTCCTTAATAGGGATCATAGTACCCTTATACTAAAGTCCTTACCAGGCCCCCACTATAATCCCTATTCAGGACTGTTTTGAAAACTCCATTGGCGGCTGTGTTTATTGGGGGTCGACGGCACTAGGGGTCCCTTGCTAGTACAATTCTTATGCTGTATTTGATTGTGTATATAGGGACTATATAAGGCTTATTTGGGGGGTTAGATTGGGGGATAAGATTAAGGGTCCCTTCTAGGGGTCCCCCTTTATACCCCTTAATTCTGGTCAAGTCAACCCCAAGCATAAAAGCCGAAACCAACCGTAAAGGCCCTAAGCCCCGGAAGACCCCAAACTCCAGATCTCTAGTGGGACGTGGGTGGCTGTGATGGCTTTGACCCCAGGGATCTTTCAACAGAACCTGGACACCCTAAACCCTAAACCCTAATCCCTAAAACCCTAAACCCTTATGAGACAGGTGCTGCCTCCATGGCGGCAGAAATGACGACGCACTTCTCTTGCGCCTCCAGGCTGGTCTGCCACTCCTCTAGATCCTTACCCTCCTCAAACCCCTGCTTTGCTTGCCCCTATGAAAACCCGCTGGGTAGTGGGTAGACCACCCAATCTGCACGCAGCTACTCAGAGGAGGCCTCTGTGACTGAAGGCTTGGAGGAGATCTTAGGGCTGGGGAGCATGGTGAAACCCAACAAATCTCCACGAGCATTTGGGGCTAAGGCTAAGGGGCATCACTGCGCCAGCACCAAACATTGCCTTTCGGTTCAGGGCTTATGCTAGATCCTGCGGCGGAGGCAACTCCCGACGTACACTCGGCATCTGCCACAAGCATGCGTGCATCGCCTGTAGTGTTCAGGGTTGAGAACGCTTCGGGTGCCACTCTCCAAGGCCTTGTCAATCCGTGCTTCCATCTTCTTCAGGCGCGCAGCTCGGTCGTGCTCCTGAAGATGCAACCCGGCAACGGCAAGTCGCTTATTGACCGAGGGCCTTGGGGCTCCATAAAGTTTCGGCTCCTCATGTTCTTGCTCTGTGTTGCTACTAAGCTATGCAAAATAGTGTTGTTCATTTCGGGGGGTTGGGGAAGCCGGGAACGGCAGTCATTGGCTTACTGTATGACAGACTTTACCGGCACACAATCGAAATAAATGTATGAACTGCAACGGGCCTCCCTCTCCATCCAAAACCGAAACCCTAAAGCCTACCTTGAATGTGTGAGGGTATACGCGGCCTGATTGCCAAGAATACGATCAAACCACCCGTCACAGCACACAAATTGTGGACACCTCACGCATGGGCTGCGATGTTGTATGTAAGGCATCTCCTGGAAGTGAACATCTGGGGGTTTACGAGAGCAAGTGACCCCGAATATAGCCCCCCAAATGGTAGGCTACCCTTATCATGAGAGCCTCAATAAGGTACGCCCAATTTTGGAAACCCTCATCTAGGCCGCCACACACATTCCCCACCCCGACAACCTTGCTTGAAGCAAGGACTGAAGGTGGCAACCCCGGAAGCCCTTCTTGGCTGATCAGGGTTTAGGGTTTAGGGTTTAGGGTTTAGGGTTTAGGCATATAAAACCCAAGGCGTCAAACCCTGAATTCCACCGGGTTGGACAGACCGATTTGGTTCTTCTGAACCCAACATGGCCCAACATCCTTCCAAGGATGCTCCTCTAGAGCTGGAGGAGCATCTGGGACTGGCACCAATCCTAAACCCTAAACCCTAACCCCTTCTTTGAACCTGGACTCTCTGACAAACCCGAACCCCTAAACCCTAAAGCCTAAACCCTCAACCCTCAACCCTAAATCCTTTTTGAACCCAGTCCCACCTACCTGCTCCCGACTCCCTACCCTGGTCGATCCATGGCCGCGATGTACCCTGGAAGTTGGTCCGCACGAAGCATGGCTGGCATGGCTCCAGAGGGCACCCCTAAACCCTAAACCCTAAACCCCTCCCTAAATGACCCGCGAGATGGATGCAGGGTCTTAGGGCATCTGCGTAATCTTGCGTCTGCGTGCGAGGGCCTCTGCTCCTGCAAGCTACGGCTGCTGTAGGGTTTAGGGTTTAGGGTTTAGAGTTTAGGGTTTAGGGCAGCGTTCTGTGCTTCAGGTGCAGTGCAGTGAGTATGACGTGGCGCCCATAAAATCCCAGAAGACATTGGGAGATGTAGAGCCAGTGCTCGCCGCGATTCGATGGATGCAATTGAATCAATGAAGAACACCCTAAACCCTAAACCCTAAACCCTAGTTTAACTTTTCCCGGTTGCAACCTGCCTAGCACCGGCGAGTTCAAGTCTTAGATTCAGCGATGAAGGTTTAACTTGCCAGACTTCGTTTCTCTAGGCCTGCGCAGGTTTGGGGGGGGGCACACGGACATAGGAAATGGAAGACAGGTTAGTTTTAAAGGCAGCCTCGCCATTCTCTGGAACAAGTTAGAGTCGGGGAGACTACCTCGTCATTGCGCCATGAATTCTGCAGGGCCTCTCAGATTCATGAAAGGGCAAAAGCGCACGGCGGGAATGCTCGAGCATTCGCCACGTTAAGGTATCGAAGCTAAGCCAGAATCCGGTAACCTATAGGCCGAACTCCAAACTCTCCCACTTCTTGAAACCTGGCCTCTCCTTCATCAGGCCTTACACCCTACAACCTAAACCCTAAAACAGCAAAAGGTGGCCAAGAAGAAAACTGTTTGGACAGGGTTGGTTTTGCTGCCGTCGTCTGAGGTTTCTGCAACAAGTACTGGGGCCTGAAAAAAGTTAGAACAAGGTTTTGTTTAGTTTAGGGTCTAGGGGCCTGAATAATTAGAATGTTTTTTTTTTTTTGGGGGGGGGGGGGGTATTTGAGTAGAATTACAAAGTGACCCTAAACCCTAAACCCTAAATGAAAAAGATTAGTAATTATTTCGACCGTTGCATTTCAGGGACCTTGGTTGCCTCTCCGCGCGTTGCATCCTTGAGGGTTTGGGCTTTCTGGAAGGTTCACATTGCTTACAACAGGGGGTTCAGGGTTTAGGGTTTAGGGTTTTGGGAAAGCCGCGCCAAGTGCTACGCTGACTAAGCTGGGTGCACGGCTTATTCAGCCTATAGAGCTGGATGCAGTTGTCGAAAAGGGCGAAGAAGGTGTTGAGGGTCTCCTTGATGGCACTGGGCTGAGACCCTCCAGCAGTCGGAGCTTCAGGTCACCCGTCCCTTACTGCCGTCCCTTACTGGCACTTTGGCTTAGGAGCTGAGTACCCTGGCCCGAAGAACCTTATGTACAGTAGGATTCAATATAACCAACAAGGTTAAAGCGCGACGTGTGCACAGCAAGTCCCCGGTGTCGAGCGTGAGACATGCTACACCAAAAAGGTCAAAGGTTACCTACCCAGCCCATAAGTTGGGGACAGGTAGTTTATAGGGCTAGGCTTGCGATGCACAGCCCTATACTGCCTGGCTGTTGAACTCCTCAGGCCCTTCTCCGCTTTTGCAACACTTGCGCCACCTTCCCCCATTAACCCTAGAAAGCATCGAAGAGAGCATCCCAGCCCGCAAAACGAAGCTTCTCGACTCCTCGTCATTCAGGCCTCGCCTCAGCCGCATGCAGGTAGCTTAGCTTTGCCATAGGGGTTAGGCCACGGTGGTCTCTTGCAGGCTTCGACTCGTTCCTCTTCCGGAGGTCGCTGCAAAAAGAAAAAAACCCCCTGCCCAAACCTGAGAACCATTTGAGAACCTGTGTAGGGTACCAAACCCCTGTAACCCCTTAGAAAACCCTGAACCCTGTGATGATCTACAACAGGGTAGGCTTCTTAGTAGCCCAGCAACCATATTATAACAAGGGTTGGTTGGTTACTTTATAAGGGAACCAAGAACCCAAAAAAAGAGGGAAAGGGTACCACTGGGCTACCAAACCCTAAACCCTAAACCCTAAGGCCTAAGGCCTAAGGCCTAAGGCCCTAAACCCTAAACCCTAAACCCTAAACCCTAAACCCTAAACCCTAAACCCTAAACCCTAAACCCTAAACCCTAAACCCTAAACCCTAAACCCTAAGCAGGCTTTGGTTCTGGAGACAGGCCTGGTTTCAAGGTCCGAGGCAGCCACTCCGACTTCAGCTTTGAATACCTGGCTTCCAATTTCCGCTCGTTCTCCTCCTGCTCTTCCACCTCGGAAGTTGGGTTTAGGGTTTAGGGTTTAGGGTTTAGGGTTTAGGGTTGAGGGTTGAGGGTTGAGGGTTGAGGGTTGAGGGTTGAGGGTTTAGGGTTTAGGGTTGGTTGCCGGGGGCACCCTGGATGAATAATTGAGCCCCCTAAGCCCTAAGCCCAAGATTCACCATTGCATTCACAGCATGTTGGTTGTTTGGGACATAAGCCTACAAGATCCCAACAGCATAGCTTCATCTCGGGATGCTTTATCCATCTCTTCGGGTTCTGTCCGCCCTAATTAAACCCTAAACCCTAGACCCGAGACCCTAAACCCTAAGCCCTAAACCTTAAGGCCTCCTTCAAGAGACTCACACCCAACCGCAGGTGCCATTGCGCAGCACAGGTGGGTACGCAGCTACGGTTCGGAAGCTTTAAGCCCCTGCAAGCCTCCTCAGAAAGCTCTGCTAAGGGAGCTCCCCCGAATATAAACACCCCGAATATTGAATAACCCCCCCCCGCCCCATATACTCTAATACAACTACAATGGTAGTATTTAATGCTAATGCTAGGAATACCCCCGCCTTATACTCAAATATAACTATAATAATGGAAGTAATTCAGATGAGGGGTTTATTATACTAGGGGGAGGGGATTGCCCTCCTCAGGAAGTTGTATGGCCTCGCTCGGCGTCAGGGTGGGGCTGTGGCAATACAGGCGCATGCCCGAGGCTGCCTTGCTCTACTACGTACTATTTGCTTTAAGACCCTCCAAGAATAGAACATATTAATAATCCCTATCTGATTATATGACCCTATAAGGAAGAACATTTGTGTCTTTGGGGGGTTCTTAAGCCGCAGTAGTTTAGGGTGTCAGAAAGCTCTTTGAAATTAGGTTCTCCATTGGCCCCTTTGGGTGGCTTGGGAGGAGATGTTGGTTCTGCGTAGGCTTCTCGCAGCCACCCCATTTCGCTCTGTTGGGTTCCTAGCGTTCCTCTCGCCCCCGACATCCCGTACACCCTAGACACACTTCTTCTTGCATCTCACGCTGCGAAACGGTCAGGATGTCCGTATAAAGGGCAGGTTCCGCGATGCATGCGGTGACAAAGTCGGGCTGCTTCAAAGACTCGCGTGGTCCTGCCTTGGGGCCTGCAGCGGTAAAATGAGCTGCGCACACCACTGGGGTGCCTGCATGAGAAGTACTCGTGGCCCGATCAAGCTCACCCAATATAGACCCCCAAATAGTTGGATTCTTTAGGATAAGGACCCAATAAGGTACCCCTAAAATTCCGGAAATCATTATCTGGATCCTGCCGAAGAGGGTCTTACAGCGCAGCTAGGTCTCCGCATGACAGAGATGCAGGCCTCTTTTCCCCCCAAACCCCGAAGGTCAGGACGTCTGCTGCGCGACTGGATTGAACGTGACATTGCTCGGAGGACCAATTGCTACACAAAAATTCTGCTCGACCGAAACACATACTTGTGCCTGCTCCGAGTGCTTCGAATGACCTGCCCAAAAAGTGCGCGACCTTTTGTGGGCTACGCAGGTGTGAGTATCAATTGGCTCTCCAGGTGAGAACATCAGATTAAGTAAGGGCTCCGCGGCCGCCGAGGCTAGACGACATGGCAACTTGAAGCATCCCAGCATGTTGGCCTCTCAGGAATCTGAGGGTGGCATCCACATCCCTTTTTGGGAACCGAATGAACCCCTAAAATTTGGGACCATATACCCTCTACTTACTCTAATCCTTACATTGGGGTATATGAACCATAAACCCTTTTAAAGTTCATCTGGCTCGCAAGGTCTCAGGGGCTAAGAGGCAGAGAGAACCTGGTCATCTGCAGGTTCTCAAGCAGTGCTCTGCAGCATGCCAACTTTCCTTTCCACTTGGCAGATAAACACGCCCCCTCCACTGACTGAAGGAGCTCAACGCTAGAGAAGATTTCCCATCGCTGCAAGTTGCCTGGCGTGCCTAGCCTGCCATTTTGATTGAAATAATTCGCGCATGCTGACCTTCGCCAGCTTGCTTGATCAATCCATGAATTTCGCGTAGCACTTGTCTGGTATTATCACATCGGCATCCCAACATACCTTCGGGGATGGGTCGTGTCAGGGATGCCCGGCGATTATCTTCAAAGATTTGGTACCAAAGCAGACCGACCCCAGTTCTCTCTGCGCTCAGGGGGTCATGGAACGCGTGTGCGTTGAGAACGTCCCGTATAATGCATTCACTCGCATTTGCGGAAGGCAGACTCAATGAAACTTCGGCGGACCACATCGCAACGGAACCATATGTACTGATATATCGGAGGCGACTTAAAAAGAGACGTATGCCATGCTGCATGCCGGCTTGGTATCACTCCAAAGATCCTCACGGGTTAGGGTTTAGGGTTTAGGGTTTAGGGTTTAGGGTTTAGGGTTTAGGGTTTAGGGTTTAGGGTTTAGGGTTTAGGGTTTAGGGCTTAGGGTTTAGGGTTACCAGATACATGCCACATGTACGCCCTCTGGCTGCGGGCCGGCAACTGATGGCACGCGCCAGACTTGCACCGGTAAGAGAGGAGTGTTCTCGCTCTCTCGATGCACAACTTGCCACAAATGTGGGGGTATTTGCTCGTCTTGCATGCCGGCGCGGCAAGTTTTGCTAGACACCTTGCCAGGTACAGGTCGCTTCCCTCCCTCCCTGTGCGCGCCGGGAACTGACGGCTAACGTTGAAACTTGCACCAGCGAGTACGGAGATTTCCTCCCAAGTCGTGATGCGGGGCTTGCCAAAACTAAACACGTCAACCGGTGCGCCTCCTTCCCATCATGCGGCTGCGCCCAAGGCTCAGTTGCGGAATTCGGGGCTCGCTCATGATTTTCTCCGCCTGACTTGGCTCACAATCGCTGTCCTCGCCCACTACCTAAGTCGCGAAGCACAGGACGTTGACATAGCTGACCCAAAATCAAGAACCCTCCGTTCCGCAACTGCCCCAGTGAAAGCAGTGTGAGAGGCGTAACAGAAAGGAAGAAACCTATGAGACAAAGGTTTAGCGACTGCAAGCTGAACGAAAGGTCGAACACAAATTTCCTGGGGTGGACGGGGCTTGCTCACCTGTGTTTCGCCTTTGCTGCTTTGCCAGAGTTAGGTCCCTAAATCCTTATAACATCATGTGCAACAGTTTACTTGACTATTTTCTTATGACAAGCGGCAGAACGACGAAATGAAAGTGTCAACCTAGCCAAACACGCAATAAGAACCAGCAACAGGTACAGGCAAGAGACTAATGACATTGAGTGAGGTGGTGCACTGCTGTTTGGGTTCATATGTGTTCTTGTCGAAGAAGTTTAAACGAGGAAGCTCATGAAACCACGGAACGCCAAACAATGAAATCATGGGATCGAACTTGATCCTTTGACAAGTTCGTTTGGACACTTCAGTTCCTCGCAGTTTCTCTTTGTTACTTTCTAGTGGGTGCTCTGCCGAGGATGCCCGGCCCTTTCTGGGTCGGATCAGGCTGCGAGAAAATCCTGAGACAGCAACTTGGGGTCATAAGTAAGGTTATAACCAGTTATGACTATAATGATCCTACTTATATCCCTTTTTGCATCCGGGCTCATGTGGGTGTTGCCAGAAACTGGCTTCGAGTGCTACTGACTGGACTCCCATACTCTAGCAAGCACAGGCAAACAGCCACTTGCGGCTATGAGTAACCTAAACAAAAACAGGGCTACAACCAGCTACGACTAGAATTATCCTACCTAAATATCTCCAATTGGTCCAAACCCTAAACCCTAAACACTATAAACCCTAAACCCGATCCAAGTGCCCGTGAATGCTAACTTTCATAAGTCGGGTTTTTGGGTTGCAATTAAGCAAAGGCCTCGGTAATTAAGGAAAAACTCCTGGTGATTTAGAAATTTTAGTTCATTTTGTATATTGATGCAAAATGAAGCCTTGGAAAAAACAGGCCTGAGTAAAACAAACTCCAAACGCCAGGCCCCAGGCTCCAAATGACCCAATCAGCTCGCTTGTCTGAGCTCGTCTGACGCTACAACTTGCATGCACACACACACACACAACACACACACTGGGCGCTCATTTCTTCTCACCTGGCGTCGTCTTCTGGCGTGAGCGTGAGGTGACAAAGCAGCCCCTCGCCCCTACCCCGGAAACTCCAAAGAAGAAAGAAGACTTGAAAGTGTGGCAGGCGGAGAGGGCTTTTACGGCAGAACTTAAGAATTAACTTAAGAGCCCTAAAATGCACAGCCCTAAAACCCGAAACCGCCTGAAGCCCTGAGCAGAGACAGCGGGATGCTTGCTGCTCACCCCCGCCCCTCGCTAGTTAAGGCTTAATTGCTGACCCCCCTCGGTAATTAAGGCTTAATTGCTGACCCCCCCCCCCCCCCCCCACGGTCATTAAGGATAGTTCAGCCGAGCTTAATTGCAGAGGGGGGGTCTGCAATTAAGGTTTTTGCAGCAGTTTTTCGTGCCAAAACTGCCCGAAACATAGTGATTTTCATGGTTTTGGCAGGGATTTGGACCCAAAAAGCGCTGCAAAAACCTTAATTGCAGACCCCCCCTCTGCAATTAAGCTCGGCTGAGCTATCCTTAATGATCGTGTGGGCGGGGGGGGGGGGTCAGCAATTAAGCCTTAATTACCGAGGGGGGGTCAGCAATTAAGCCTCAATTACCGAGGGGGGGTCAGCAATTCAGCCTGAATTTCCGAAGGGAGATCATGCATTTATGAGGGCCCAGTGCGTCAAAAACAACCTTGATGGAGAAGCTGGCTGAGGCCCATCTAACAGATCATCAGATTACACAGACACACCACAGCGCCGAGTAAATCATCTGTAAGCGCTTGCATGTAGCAGGGGAAGCCTGTTGGGGTTAAGATTTAGGGAAGTTGGGGGTGACACCGTCACGCAACTCACACAGTGTCACGTGCCATTTTTTCGATTCAGGGTTTTCACTTCACGCCGTGCCTGCTATCTTGCTCACGATGTCTCAGATGTCTCATGGTTTTTCATTTGCTGCTGTATCAGC